TTCATGTAGTAATTCATTAATACTGTTAGTTTATAAAGAAAATTAGATAAAAGGTACTTGGCTTGGTGCTTTCATAACTGCAAACTCAAAATACACCCAGAAGTAAAAAAGAATCAAGTTATTGGAAAAAAACTATGTTTGTGTAAAAACATTAGTCACATGATTTGTTTGATTTTTCGATCAGCTGTTTCGTTTCTAATGAATTAATAATGTCAAAGATTTGTGATTTTAAATACATCAATTATTAAAGTAAAGTTTTCTAAATATGGTAACTTATTCTCAACTAAATTTTACTATTCCCAACAGGAAAATAAAGTAGTGGGATCCATTATGAGTAAAGTTTAAGGCACACAATCCTTGATTGAAATGTAGTATACATTAACAGTCATAATACACAGCAATTATTATGTAGTAGACTTTGACTATTTTCAAGTAACAAACATATGTTTCTGTAAATAAAAATTATCTCCCTTGTTAACCTTATGGAGAAATACGAAACTTTAAAGGGCCCCAGGGCCTCACTCTCTAATTATTTCCTTAAAAAGAAGGTTTCCTGCACAACTTCACGTTACGCTCTTTCCAATGACACCAAAAACATGTCAATCGGTTCAGTAGTTTCGGAGGAGTAATTGTCACAAAAATCGTGCTTGCGTATTAAATAAGTACGAGAGTTCGTCCAATGGTCGAAACTCGACCAAAAATATGTAATGTAAACTTACTCACTTCTCTATTTTCATCCCACACTGTAAATAAAACATGTGATTGGAGTTTCTTCCATTTGTTTTGATTTTCTGTTTATATTTCGTTGTTATTTCGTCACCAGCATAGCAACGCATAAGATCCATGTTAATTTTTTTCAAATTTTTAAACTCATTTTTTGTGCTTATCTTTGAGCCTATTTAAATTTATAAAGGGATTCTGCACACCTACAGGAAAATAGCTTTCTAACGGTATGCGTAGATTTACCCCACGATGCACACGAGCTGAGAAAAAAGGTTTTAAAGAAACATGCTTGCCTATTAATATATAGATAGATAGATTACCAAATCAGTGGAAAATCCTAATATCACAGTAACTCTTAAAATTATTTCTTAAGGAGTTAACTTATATCTGTTGTATGGGTTGGTTTCTGCCTTTTTTTACCACTTCTTGGAGATTGTACGTAGGCGTGTTGCACGTAGATGATATTCTTTGCGTATTGCACTGTAGACGATACTTGGGTTGGTGTAATTATTACAATGGATAAAAGCGAGAAATCCTGGACGATTTGGTATATGTAGGCCTACTAAAAATAAAACTGAATTAAAGAGAAATATAAATAATGTTTTTTTTCTTCATTTATAATTGTTATTATAGAGAACCTAATGCGGCTATGAGTGGGAAACATTTGTAGAAAACTCTAAAAAAACAAGATCAGCTTTTGAAAAAAAGATAAGATAATTACAAACAATTTTGATTAAGAACTGTTGTGTACATCGTTAGTATTTCCATAATCTTTGAGTCGACTTTTATAAAGTCATCGGAAATTATGACTGTTATTCGTTTTAAAATAACGCCTGTAATGCGCAATTGCTTGAATTCGAGCAACACTAGGTACACTAGTTTTTATTTAATTTTTAACTACCATCCTCTCATGCCATCCTAATTGATACCATTTATACATTTAGTAAGTTTGACTCTTTGAAGGCAGTAAAAATGAAGGAAGCAACAGTAACCATAGATGAGATTTATTTTCAGCGTAGTTTGCTGATAAAATACAACTATGAATCGGAACTTGACTTAGAAATGACGGACATGAAGGGCAGTAACAACATTTCCAATGTGGAATGGATGAACTAATAACAATAAACACATCAAATTCTTACAATAAAAGGAGATGGGATCCAACAATGATTTGAAATTTTAATAGATTGTTTAAAAAAGTAGTGAACAAGGATTTGTCTGTATATTGCTTTCAATTTTCACCAAACAAAACCTTATAATTTTAGTTGGGATTTATTTGATATAATTTTTCCTAATTATAAACATTTTATAATGATGCAGATTTTAAATTATAAAAAAATAAGATGAATTAAACTGTTAAACCAATAAAGTTGTTAGGTACTGGTACTAAAGCAAAATTGTTTTTTATCTAATCATAACATTGATGTATTAATACTGTTCGATGAAATGGCAACCATAGTAAAATAAAACTAGCCTTGCATATTCAATGTTTTTAAATTAAATTTACTTATCTAATGATAATACTAAGGAGAAACCAGTTCTCAAATTTTCTCTGATTTTGGAATATAACTCTCCCACATGATCAAATAAGTTAAATAAAACAATAAACATCATTTAACTTATACTCTAGCTGATTGGAGGTTTGAAGTTTGACTTTAAACATTCTTTTTGTGTTCAACATCCCTCAACTTATTAAATTTTTGCTCACAATTCCTATCCCATACTTTAAAACATATTATTGCTTTGACAATACCAAGTAGAGGGAGAACACTATAGTGTTGGATATGAAAGTTGATAGCGATAAACTGTAATTCCCATTTCTGTGACTTAACATTGTGTATGTGAAACACAAAAACTCCACTCAAAAGTTCAGTTACCACCTCTTCTATAAACGTTTTTATATCCTAAATGTAAAACTAGTTATAATTGCACATATCCTCATCCTATACATTGCTTAATGCTTAGTCTAAATAATTTTACAATCAGTATTGACTAGATCAACCAAAGGAAACTGGTGCAGTCTTAAAAACAATTGTACAATAAAATGGTAACAATAAATGTGTGGAACTGATCCCTTTGGTATAGGAAAACTTTACATAGAACATACATTGTTAAAAATACCTACAAGAAGTTTAACAAGAAAAATTCAAAGAATCACTAAATATACAATCTTTCGCTCAAATGTGAGGAATATAAGAAACGTGTCAAAATTATACAAATACGTTCTCAAGACTAAATCAGGACTATTGACAGTAAATAATAGTTACAGCATGATAATTTATACTACTGGATATTATGGGCTGAGTGTTGGAATTTCATTGTCGTCTGGTTTTTTACTGTAAAAAAGGTGAATAATTTCATTACAGCCAAAAATAACTTTTTACAATTAAATTTTGTCTCTTTATACACTCAAGCTTCCGAGAGATTGATACGTACTGAAAAAATACTATAAATTTATGTTTCTTACACACTTTTTACAGGGTTATGTTTTATTGAAGGTATTTCTAAAAAATATCAAGTGATTAGAAATGTCAATACCTTTCCAACCAAAGGACTGAATACTAAAATATCAACATAGTTCTATTTCAAGCATTTATCCTCACTTAGCTTACATCAAACTAGAAACTATTCTCACAAAGATCTTAAAAGTAATGAGCCAGTAAGAAAAAAATTGAGCAATGAAGTCAAAACCAATCTTACACCTAGTCAAATGGCAGATGTTAGTAGATACCTATCGACATTCAACATTATATTTACATAAGTACAGCGTGTGATAGAAAATTAGAACTAACCTACGAAATAGGTCAGAAGCTACGAGGAGTCTATTGGACAAGATTTACATCTAAACTGCATTAGAACAATTAAGTTTTATTACTGAACATGAGATGTACAGTAGGATTACTTCTGTTAAACAGTGAACTTACAGTAAGTAAAACAATGATATGCTGGTTAAAAAGACATCAGAGAAAACGGTTTTGACAGTTAATACTCAAACAACTTGGTAATCTTGAATTCTTGGTAAATCTCAAATGAATGTAAACATCAACAAACATTCATCAATATCTTATAACAAACAAATATGAAACAGTGATTTACAATTTTACATGACGTCGGCGACAAGAACTTGTGAAAAGACAAGATTTATTGTAATTTCAGTGTATACTGTATTTATTTTTGCCAATATTTATTTTACGTTTGACGAATTTGGATGCATTCAGTTAATTTATTCTATGATCTGTTTAATTATACCAGTTAACAGACAGAATATTTAACTGCTAAATTTTTTCCAATAATAAAAGTTGATTTAAAAAAAAAAAAAAAATGAAACAAGCAGAAGAGCCCTTTTGAACAACTTGTCCACTTTTACTATGTAATAACCAAGCATTTCATAGTTTTCAGTAATTTTTTTTTTGAAATTGCATAAAACCAGTCAGTTATGGCAAATAATAAAACCGTGTTCAACCATTGACTTGTAGATACTGAAGTAGACATCCCAGCTATTACGGGCAGCTGTAGCCAATTTTGTTTAAAAAGAAATTGTTGAATAAACACCACCCTCAGTGTGTAAACAATTTTTCCTACAACTGTTTTTTAAACCATAGCCTTTTCTATTAAATTTTTAAGGATAAAAAAGATTCACTTTACCGCATTGTTTACTTACTTTACAGCACTAGTGTGTAAAAGTAACGAACCAAGGGGGTTCAAGAATTAAGAGGAAAGAAGTAAATCTGAATGCTTCAAACGCCACCAGCTGGTAACAACCAACTCAATTGTTGATCTGCCGACTTCCGCCAGGAACTCACACATTCTTTTTTTAACCTAACTTTTTTATGATTACCTTCCCTGATAATTTTTATGACACTTGAATTTTGTTTGTTTTTATTTTCCGTAAGCCTTACTAACACTCGTAAAAGTTTTTAAGGCTCGAACCTTAGTTTTAAAGGCACGAGCCTTTAAAAGCCTATCTTTGAGCGATTTTTGTGAAAACTACTATTATTTCCTTCCTTATCTTTAGTTTTTTTTTATTAGACACAATCTTACAAATAATCTTAGTGTAGTTTACAATCTTAACAATCACCATCATGATATTGTACTATCAAGGTTTGGCATGATCAATGATATCAGTAATTTACATGAATGGCTCAATTCGAACTAGTTAGTTTTCATTCCTAACTTCTAGCTAGGGAAATGTAATGTCCACTTGTATCTATAGTCAAAGATTCAACCCTCAACTCAAACCTTGGATATACTCAAGAGTTTCATAGTAATTTGACAAAAACATATTGCCTAAGTAGCCTGTATCTTTGTCTAGTTCATGGCTTCTTGAGTTTAGCAGTGAGGCGGTGATGTCGGCGTCACTTGGTCGGTGCAGGTAGAGTGGCGGGAGGAGTGGTGGTGGTGCGCGGTGCGCTGACTGGCGGCCGCTTGGCGCAACACACCGCGTGGTGCGTCTCCCAGTCCTTGTGTTGGCAGAAGGCGCCACAGTAGCGCGCCACGTTACACCCGCTGCAAGTCTCGTTGGCCTTCCGACCGCAGTTCCAGCAACTCTGCAACGTTACTAGATGTTGGGAAAAGAATTTATACCGTTTATAGTTGCTCTGGTGAGGCCGAGTATTTTGATTTCACCATAGATCAAATCAGAGGTCAAACCTGTTTAAATGTCAAGTCCTTAAGGGTTCTTTAAAAGTTAAGTAGGTACCAAATTTTAAGTTGATATATCGATGATTATGAGTAACAATGACAAATTTGCTCACACATAATTCATGCAAGCATAACTCAACAAAGTACTGCTGAAACTTGGCCATCTGGAAATTACCAGGCTGTTAATCTAGAGAACATCTTGGCTGTTATTTTGATGCGCAGCAATCCTAAATGTTGGCCAATATTTTTTCCAATTCATTGATGTGGTCAACTCCCGAAGGCAGAATTGGACAGCCTACTTTTACTGTGAAAGCCTACCTTCCAGCTTCCTTTAATGAAATCCTTTTTCCCCAAATAATTAAAAGTCACTGAAGGTTTTCTCTACACAAAAATATAAGTTTTAGTAAAGATAGGTTTGGTTGAACATTTGAATGATTGCTTATTCTCACTACAATTTTGTTGTAACAATTTACAGGCCCCGTCTGCTTCTGTAACAGGCCCTTTTTGATTTCTTGAACGATTGTCAAAAGAGATCATTAAACTTACATTCTGTTGTGACGGGGTGGGGGGAGATTCAGTTCTGTCGGCTGCTACAGTCACTGCCTCTTCAACAGCGTGTTTCCGCGCGTCGGCCACCAGCTTCTCCACCTTGGCTCGCTCAGAGGCCACCAACTCACACGCCTTTGTCTCTGCCGCCGCGACGGCCCGTTGTAACTCTGCCACTGCTTGCCTCTTCACCTCGTTCACCGCCTCTTCTGGGGACACCACATGCGTTACACACCGTTCTCAACCCACTTAGAGCAAGTGAAACATTGAAGCGAACGTGGCAAATAATCACACTCAATCTTCGTTATGATTAAATCTTAGATTTCAATAAGTCCAGTGAATGATGGCACAAATTTATAATTTTACACTTCATGTTGAGTAAAATATACCCATGTGTAAGTGGACAGCTGTGCAGTGGAGCAGGAACATATGGAAACGGGGTTCCCACACTGCTTTTTCTAACAGTCTTATATGTTATTCCTATATGTTAGCCAGTTCTTAGACGATTGTGAGCATTCCAAAACTGGACATTTTACAACTACACCACTGTTAGTTGATACAAGTGCCAATACCATGACCTAGTACAGCATCATTGAACCTGCTGATTGGGAAAAGGAATTGCAAAAAATATATTCCAGGAACCAGTCTGAAAACGTATCAGTGGCTAGACTAATTAGCCTCCAATGTTTGTAAATGTTACTCATGTACCTGCTTTCCTTCGCACCTCAGCGACCCTGTCCTCCGTCAGCCTGATGGTGTGAGCCATGATCTCGCTGGCCGTGCGCTTGACATCGTCTGCTGAGGGATGCCCCGCTACAGCGCCGCCACTGGGGGTCGTCCTCCGCCACTCTGCTCCACCACCATCACTAGACCTCTGCTGTAGGATTGTCAGGGCTCGCTTGGTCTTCTCTACCATACTTAGGATACAGTTAAGCATCTGGAATGAATAAAAATACCACAATGCACCATAATACTAGCAAACCAATTGGTAAAACGTTTGAAATATTGTATTGCATAACAAGTCAACTGAAATTACTTAATTTTAGGGATATGATATAAGTATCTACACAACCAGTGTATATGTAACAATTTCCAATCACTAGACGTCCAGCTATACAATAAACAAAACAATCTACAACGTGGTGTTAAAGACCGAAAGACAGTTACTGCTTCGTATGGGTAGATTGCAGCTAAAGTTCTCAAAATGTTTAGTGCGACTTACGCTCTTCAAAAAATATTATAAATTCATAACATTTTTGTACAATTCGAGACTTACCTATTGAAATTGGCTCAACAAAAAAGTAGTAGTTAGCACCACAAATGTTACGTGAGCTACCAGTATTCCCATGTTAAAGTTGAATCCTAGGTTTTGAATAAAAGTAACATAGTGGAAATGAACAACCTACATAGTGTGCTGGTGTAGATTACTGATTTCTGTCTTTAACGCACAAGACATTTAAAGAGGATTGTTGGGGGTGCAGGGAAAAGAAAATCCCATCACAAGGTAGGTGAAAAAAAATATAATCTATTTCGATTACAAATTGAATACAGCTGGTCTACATACCTAATTTCAGTATCAAAAAGTCTACGCTAAGGTTCATCAGTAACCCCTACCCGCTTGAATTACTGTTCACGTTGCATATGTACGCGTTATACATATTCTGCTGCGTATCATACTCACCACGTGGATATTCTTCCACTCGTCCTCGCCGTAGCTGCGTCTCGCCTCCTCCGTCTCTCTGTGAGGGTGATGGTACGGAGGGTAAGGTGTGGAGGGATGGTAGTCCGGATGAAGCAGATGGGTCGGAGGTAGTGCCAGAGGGTGAAGTGGAAACAGCAGGCCGGAGTGGTGAGGCCTCTTAGGAGCCGGGGGAAGGTAGACAGCGTCCTCCAGTCCGTTCTCATAGTAGCTGCAACAATACTAGTGAATATTGGGTGTTTACAAGTAAAAAGTCGGTGGTAATCACACTGTGAACGTTGTCAGCTCTACGGTGGGGAGATTGTAGACTGGGTGTTTAAGTTGAATATAGATCATAGATCAAACAAGTTAAGGAGTGCAGTATTTTGTAGATGGAATTTTCTAACTGAATTTAAACAAAACAGTCTTGTACTCACAAGAAGGTTAGACTTAGAAGAGTAGTTTAATCAAACATTGACTACAACAACTTTTAGAGTACGTGGACTTAAGAAGCATTCTTTTTCTTGAAGTACAATCCTATTGAGTCTAAGAGGGCTGTAATTTAAAATTATTCCGAACACTTTCAGTTGAACTTTGAATCTAGTAAGAAGGAACAAAACTTGTTGAGAAAAGCACTACAATTAACTTTAAAAGCTGAAAGATAGAGGAAATCTGAAAAAGAAAGCTTAAAGATAGTGTCGGAAAATAATATGAAATGGCTGAGATTAAATCCTTGAAGCAAGTTTGAAGAAGGTTGTAGAAAAAAAAAACCAGTGGATTGCAATTAACTTTAACTCTGGGTCAGTTAATACTGTAGCATACTGGTACCAAAATGAGTAAGAATGGATTAGGATTTGGCACACACTCAATGTCTACGGTTTCATTTACTTTTTTGAGCTTAACTTTTTTAGAACTGATGTCTTGAATTCTAAATTAATCTGACTAAAACTTTGACCACTCTGAATAAAGTGAGAAAGTTACAGACATATTTGATTTGATTGCAAAATATAAGAAATTATAATTAAAATATTCCCAAAACTTTCCACAAAAATAAATACATAACAATATTTTAATATAGATGGAATGATAACATTGGCAGTTATCAATTAATTGTAATTTAATTGAGATGGGGATGCCATCTAGTATAACCAAAATATAAGTGAAGGATGAATGTAGAATTGAGGGCGATACCATTGTTGCAGACTAAGATCAGCTGTTTCATCAGTCAGGATCATTCATTTAAAGCCCAATGATCATTGATCAGGGACTGCTGGGTCCAGTTTCAACCGATCAACTCAAAAAGCTACAGAAACCTACACCAGAAAGCCTACTTATTGTTAGGCGAGCAATTTATTGTTATGCAGCACTAAGTTATAAGGACGCGTTGCAGAAAGTCAACAGTCCCGGAAGGTCAAATAATTTATACCTGTGCCACTAGGTCAAAAACTACAATGTTTGCAGTGTCTGTAGATCAAAAATCCCAGTAAGTCAAATAGTACAGTCCAGGCTAAAAACGTAGTCTATGTTAAAGCAATTGACTTATTGGGAATTTGACCTAATGCAACAGCAGTTTTAATAAAACGAAATAAGATAAAATATAAGTTCAGTTTCGCTGAGTCAACAGTGCCGGAAGGTCAAAAGTATAATCAGTTAAAAACAACGATAGTCCTCTCGACGCATGACTTCAATAATTTCGTGTTTTGGTGTACTTAAAGTTGTGCTAAGATTTTGAAAATTGGCACAGAGCTTCTTGGTTAGTCCTACTCAATGACTATTTTGTTGGAACTTTAAACTATTTACCTATCTAATTAATAAAAATTGATATGTATGGTGAAATAGTTTTAAATCGTGATTTCTAACATGAAAAAGTTAGCATGCGAGATTTTTGTTTGTTTTTGGGTTAGAGAAGTTTTGTCTGTGACAAAGTTGTAGCCAAAAGTGTGATGCGTAAAATATATTTTTTTGAATTTTTTACGATAAGTGGTTCAATAGATAACTTGGGTTGAAGAGGACGGAAAATTTAGCATTTCGCAACGCATGGAAAGAACTACATCGTACGATGCGACTGCTGAGTGGACTTTTAATTTACAGTTCTAAGGACAAGAAAAAGATGAATATACAGATTACCAGTACATTCATATTATTTATAAAACATCTTTCTGTATTACCAGCTTACATTTTTCACTTATATTAATAAGAATACATCACAAACAAGGTGTTAAAAATAAGCGGAGAGACACTTTACCTAGTAATTCCTTGGGTCAAAATAAACAGAAAATGAACGATAACATTTTTTCCAAAATCGTTTCGTTAACCAGATATCCGCCATTTTGTATTTTTTACATACAAATATTTATCTTTACACTTTTCCAACCGATGTTTATGAAACTTGGTATGTACGTTAAGGTAGGAGAGACCCATGTTATAAAAAAAAGATTCATCTCGATTCACCCTAAAATTTCAAAATTTAACACTTAACTACAATATAATATACTTTACTATACCACAATATTTACGTATCACCATAAATCTTTAATAAAATAAAACGTCCAGTTATTAAAATCCAAAGTAAATCAATTTAATCTTCCTTTTTTGAAAAATATGGTAAAAAAAATTAAGCGATGTTAAAATAACGACAGGCGAGTTTCGATCTGGAAGTTTCAGGTTTGAACCTAGGAGGATTTAACATTAATTAACATTAATGTTTAATCCTCCTAGGTTTGAAGTGATTGAGAGGAATACATGAAACCGAAGGGGGGAGGTAGCAACAAGTGCACTGGTACTTACTAGTGTCCAATTACAATTTAAATTGTAATTGGGATATCGGATACGGTAAGAATTAGAGAAAACTTTAAATGGGGGACATTCCTTTATTTCTTGTGGCAGTTAAAAATATGATTTTAGTTTTTTGAAATTCAGCCGCCATTTTCCAAAATGGCGGCCAAATTTGAAATTTTTTATAGAACACCCTATATTTTATCATGTTTTCGGATAGAATATGCAATTTAAAAACTTTTTTATAATTGACATTTTTTCGATAAACCGACTCGTTTAGGAGTTATAGCCTATGGAAAAATGACTTCCTGTGTACATTTTACATCATGTAGCTCCTAAACAAGTAAGTTTATAGCAAAAATGGGAAGAGTAAAAAAGTCTTACAATTGCATCCACATTCCAAAAAGACCATAAAATTCATTAAAAATATGAATTATATTATTTAAAAAATGGCGGCAAACTTGAAAAGTGGAAAACTTTTTATTTTATAGTCTTAAAGGAATGTAGATGCAATTCTAAGACTGATTTACTTTTTGCAATTTTGCTCTAAACTTACTCGTTTAGGAGCTACATGATGTAAAATGTAAACCGGAAGTCATTTTTCCATAGGCTGTAATCCTAAACGAGTGGGTTTATAAAAAAAATGTCAAAGCTAACAAAGTTTTTAAATTGCATATTCTATCCGAAAACATGATAAAAAACTAAAATCATATTTTAACTGCCACAAAAATTAAAGGTATGTGCCCCATTTAAAGTTTTCTCTAATTCTTACCGTTTCCGATTTCCCAATGGTGGACTCCTTGAGTTGATCACCCTGTATATATGAATTTGAACGGATGGTGTTTTTGGCCTCTAGGGACCTCAAAACGAAAAATTAAATCGGTCCCGCGGGTCCAGGTGTTACCATAAGTACTACGGTTATAGCTTATTCCCTACATGGGATATTCGCCAAAAACGTAATAGTTATATAGAACAATATTACATTCAACCAGCTGTTAGTTAAAACAAATTATATGGGAAAACAAATCAATGATTATAAAGATTCCTTTAAAAATAATTTGAACATCCTACAATTTTACTATGCATATTTAATTAATCTGCCATCCTCATACCTAAGAATTGAATGTATCAATGGTCAGCATTACACATAGTATAAATATGTCAACTCTAAATATGTCTTTAAATTTGTTTCCAAATGCTGAATGTTTACAGCTGTTATGTTAAGCAAATTATATTGTACTAAAAGCTAGCTTAGAAGGTAAGCGTCGGCTGCTAGACTTTTTAAAAATTAAAACTTAATTTCTAAAAAACTGGGACCCTTAATTATAATTATGGCTTTGACATTCCCTAGTTCTCAAAATTATCTTTCTTTCAACATAAAAATAATGAAAATCCGTCGACTGGTTGATTCAGAATGTGAAAAACCTCATTTACGTTTTAATAATATATATGATAGTTTGGACAGGTTTCAACCCTTCCGAGGCGTAATACATTTACACAGTTTATGTGTAGACTACATTATAACTCATAAAATAGTTCTACAATTAAATGGATCTCCTTTTACAAACGTATATAATAACCAGAAATTTTCAGATCGTCCTTGCGTGTATTTTATGCCACCAATTTTGACGAAAGGCTTTTCATTACATAAACTATACCTATTTACAGTGTTGACCAAACAGTTGGCAAGAAACATTAATTGAAGCTATGTACCAAATATGATAATTTTAGCTTTATTCTAATTATGACAAAACACGAAGTAACTAAAAGCGAGTTTTGTTGGTGTAGTAAGCGTTGCAGCAGGTCTACTTTACACTGAATCGACGTTCACTTTTATTGCTTTTGATCTTCCGGCACTGTTGACTCAGCGAAACTGAACTTGTATTTTACCGTATTTCGTTTTATGAAAACTGCTGTTGCATTAGGTCAAATTCCCAATAAGTCAATTGCTTTAACATAGACCACGTTTTTAGCTCGGACTGTACTATTTGACTTACTGGGATTTTTGATCTACAGACACTGCAAACATTGTAGTTTTTGACCTAGCGGCACAGGTATAAATTATTTGATCTTCCGGGACTGTTGACTTTCAGCAACATTCCCAGTTATAACCCCTCACCTACAGTAGGTTAACCTTAAAACGCCAAGTTGTACATTTAGAATCAACTATACTGAAATAAATAATTCATTACTTTAAAAGTTTTTACACACTGCTGTACTAAGAAGGCCAACAGTAATATAAACTTAAATATTGTAGAAAATATGTCTTACAATTCTCTTAACCTTTCCATTCCTAAAAAATCAATAATCGTAAGTATTTGTTATTTTCACAATATCATAAACTTCATATTTTAATTCGAAAATTTGCAACCCATGCAAAATTTGTGTGTATTCCTTCAATAAAACGTGGACCAGAAGTGAAAGAAGTAAAAGGTCGAAGAAAGAAGTACCAGGTGTTGAAAGGGTGGGACTTTGATCAATGGCATTTCATTAGAAGGCCGCATGTGAGAAAAGAAACTGCAAGATGCCATTATTCATATTAATAAAACTGGTACAGTCTGGTGCAGAGCGTCAGCTGCGAGTACAGTCACTGCCTGGCTAAATTAAACCTCTTCTTGGCATATGGCGCACGCACTCACACACACGTACTTGTCATTGGATTTGTTGTGACAGTTGTTTCAACTTATTGTCTAGTTTATACTTTGATTGGTAAAACATGTGACAAAATTCAAAATTGATATTGAATAGTGACAGTTTTTTGGGTCTTTAAATGTTATTTTTAATTGCTTTTTTGGCATGTAAATAAAATATTTTTAGTGATATTATTTTGAAAAAAGGTTTCTTTCTTTAAGTTAAAAATTTCAAGTAAATATCTCAATAAAAACTTTTAATTTATTATATAGAATAGGACTATCTTCGGTTTTGATATAATAATTTCAGGTTGACGCTTTAGTACTCTCCGAGTCAAGATTTTAATCGAGATTGAACCGAACGGTAACAATTTTTGTTGTTAGTGCCCACTTTGCCAAATATTTGGGTATTTGCGGCCCAAGGTCAAATTAACCCGAGCAGCCCTTGTCCCACAGGTGAAACTTCCCCGCGATCGCGTCGAAACGTGAAAATCTCACACGATCATGAGGATGTCATCGTATTCGTATTCACCCGCGATCGCAGATAAATCGTGAACGTCTTTACCGATCATAGGGACATCCCCATCGTCACCCGCGATCCGAAAAAAATTAATTAGAACCATAAAAATGCATTTGTTGTTACAAAAAAATTGTTTCTGTGCTATACGGCAATAGGCCGCGATGGTAAATCCGGCAATGGGTGTCCACGCCAGTGTCATTTTTTTATATAAAAACCACAAACGCTTGTCCGAACTATCAAAATATTTTGTTGATCTGCCGGGGATCATATCCCCTCTACGCTATAGTCCAACACCATGATAATACAGGCTGAGATAATAATAAATGTTACACTGAAACCTATAATGATTGCGAGATTTAGAAATTGGACCCGTACATCTACTGAACTGAAAATTCACCTCATTTAACCCTTCCCAAGCGGCGGCCGCAGGGCGAAGCCCTAACTACGCGATCCATAATTTTGTTGAGGTTAAAAGATTTATTTTAAGATGTTGATGTTTTTTCCACTTCTTAGAAAGCAAAAAACTGTACTGTATATTTGAACGCCTTCAGTATAGTCTAAGCAATACAGTTGCTGTACCCGAATTGCCTAAGACGAAATGCAGGATCGCGTACTCGACCTTCGTAGTCAGTAATTATGTTAGATGCAAAAAAATACTTGAAATACATACAAAAAATTAAAAATAAACAGTAAAGTTATAAATATAAAAATAACGATAACAAATTGAGTAATAAAAATAAAGGATTGAAAGTAAACAATAGGAGTAAGCCAAATCCCGCAAGTTGTGTCCCATGATCAAGTATGGCCGGCCTAGCCTGTAAATCAATGTTATCTGTGTTTTTAAATAATAAACTTTACGTGTCAATATGTATTTATTGATGAAAACGCCAGTCAAATTTTTTACACCATAAATTTGGAGTTTGATTTTACAATAATAGGCATTGTATTGTGACCCGAAACTATATTAATCCTCAGACTATTATTGTAAGACTGAAGATGGACAATGATATTTAACGTATCATAATATATTGTTAAAATGCATAGTAATTCCTATGTTTAGTTTGGGATAATCAGTAATTATGCTTGTTTACTATTAAACACTTTCTATTAGTACTTTACGTATTGATATAATAAATAAATATTTAAGAAATTGCAAATAGTAACATTAAAAGCGTAAATATACCGAGTAGTGGACAGTGGTGGAAAATGTCTTAAAATCAGTGTTTTTATTTTGTACCTAATATCACATGCTGATTCCTGCATTGGTATCCGACACGTAACAGGTAATAAATAGTGGGGCATTTAAACTGTTGGTTATTATATATTTATTTATCATAATTTATTTTTATATTCTGTTGGCCTGTGTTCACGCCAGTGGATTTTTTACGTTTTTTGCAAAGGGATAGTTCATCCCATAGCTTTTATTACTGCCTAATGTTTACATTTTGTTAGATAGTATCAATTGATAAGCTCTAAAGGCATGTGTATCCACAATCAGCTCAGCTGGGATCGAACCCGTGAACTTCAGATTTGATGTCGAAAACTATAACCACTCATTGATCATATGACTTTGATTTCAAAAGTCATGCATATTATAATATAACATTCTTATACCAATATTCCGTCATACTTGAGTGGCATGTTCGTTAACTACCCTCCCCCCCCCCCCAATACACAGGTGTGCTACAAGATGGAGGGGAGGTTAGCAGTTATTCTAACATCGAGACGTCATCAGACCCAGCTGTGTCCCCCCCCCCAACCACCTCTGCAAATTCAGGCTACAAATTAAGACAAATTTCCAGCTTTGCACTTTGTCTTAAAGATTGATCACTGCTATTTATTATGCGATTGGTAGAAAACAGGTGATGTTTGAAAGAAGGTGTCTGTAGCAGCAAAGGCACTTTGCACTCGCGTTACAATTTTTTTTACTTTTGTTACTATAAAGCATCTCTATATTAATAGGCAAGCATGTTTTTTTAAAACCTTTTTCCTCAGCTCGTGTGCATCGTAGGAAAAATTTACGCATACGGTTAGAAAGATATTTTCCTGTAGATGTGCATAATCCCTTTATAAATTGAAATAGGAAAAAAATAAGCACAAAAATGAATTTTAAATATACAAAATTACAATGGGTGTTATGGGTTGCCATGCTGGCGACGAAATAACAATGAATAAGTTAATATAAACAGAATTCAAAACAAATGGAAGAAATTCCAATCACATGATTTATTGCGTGGGGTGAAAGTATAGAAGTTTGCACAATACATATTTTTGTGGACGATCTCTATTGTAGTAAAATGTAGTTGGGTCTATGCTATGTTTCATTGTGTTTCTAAAAATAATCTAAAAATCCCTGAAAATAGGTTTTATAACCTCCATAGTCGATGCATTGTGAACGATTGGAACTTTGTAAACGAGATTTTCGGAATTAATTTAGAAATCGTCATAATGAAAGCTGTTATTTGCATTATTTTAACAGAACTTTATAGTTCCGTTGGTTATTTGTAAAATTAATTGCTTCATGATTATTACTGTGAAAAGCTTGGTCCATCAACCATTTCACACTAGTAACTAAAACAAATATATTTTCTGAATGTCAACTGTCGGTTTGGGGATAGTCCTTTAAGATCCAACGATCACTTAAAAGAAGACCTGGAAGCACAAAAAATACGCCAAATAACACTTGTAATAATATATTTACACTTATACTGTTTACTAACAAGACGAAAATTACATATAAAAGATGTATTTTATATGTATTTACTGTCTTGTCAATAAACAGTATAAGTCAAGTGTAAATATATTATTACAAGTGTTATTTGACGTATATTTTGTGCTCCCGGGTAATTTAATAACACGTACGATGTTGTGCAAGAAGTTATTAAAAAAAACAAATGAAGAATAAATTGATCTTAAAATAAAACTTAATTTATAAACTGCTATTTAAACAAATTGAGGGATGTTATTTCATTACAAAGTATGTAACATGGGGCAAGTTCTACAGGACATTTTCCGTTAATTTAACAATACTATGTTTATTCATGTTGAAATATTATCCACAAAACCTATTGAGGATTAGGTTAGGTTAGGTCAAGATCAAGAAATTCTAATACCATGACAGTGAATTAACTGACAGGTCTGTGAGCCTAAGAACTACTCGAATTTACAGTCATATTATCAACAAACAACTTACACCACTGACCACTTGTTCAACACTTTATATAGTATGTCAGTTGTACTGTGGATACAGTATCAAGGTGGCACTGACCTCTCGGCTCTCCGTTTCTCAGGATGGCTGTGGCTGTCTGTGTGATGGAAGATCTCTCCAGGTTCGCTAGGCGAGTAGGCAGGATCCAGAACACTGTGTTCATGTTGTCTGATGTACTGAGCAATCGTCTAAAACATTGTTAGAACACATTCAGAATCTGGTAACACTTTGTCTGTAAGTAATACGTATTAAAATAATCTGGGTTCATCTAACCTTAACGTAACATTTGCTACAATTTTGGTACTTTTACTAACTTTAATTTTTTTGTAAAAATGTCAACATTTTGTTCCTCCGCTACTTTTGTTATCTTCTTATAGTTTCCTTATCTTTGTTCCTTCCCCTTTTCACAGATACAATCACTATGCAAATAATTATGCAAAACTGAAATACCTCAAGTAGATTACATCTTGTTATAATTTTTGTTAAAAATTTCCCAGGCAAAGAACCATTCTCGTCACTATGATGGATTACAAAACCGAATAAAAAGTTTTACAAGGAACAAAAGTAAGGATAAGTTCTGTTAAACGCGTAAGATATATTTACTGTCTAAAATCAAAGGTTTTTACCATCCCATCCCCGTCACCATTGTTAAATAAGAAACAACTAACTTCAGAACTAAACTTTTACCTTGACGTTGCTATACAATGTATTATTTGTTTTGGCAATAAATGATTTGATTTGATTTGATTTGAATACAATCATAATTTAATTTTCATTCAAAACGCTAACAAAAAAAAATCCACTGTAAAACTAAAAGGAAATGAAATGGAAATGAAATGAAAGTCCTTTATTTCCTTCCTTTACTAAAACTACTGTGTAGCCATCAATCTATTAAGCACGTGATTAAAACAACGAAATTAATCAAAAACATATGATTTTAGTCAATTAATATAAGTTCCAAAATACAAATCAGCTGATTGTTGCATTATTGTCTGACTCACTACGCGTTCACTCCTGTGGCGACACGCTTCTTTAGACAGTGGCGTCCATTAATTAAAGGTGTTATTCGTGCTGTGTTTAAAACTACTCAAGTTTCAATTTTGATATTTATTATGATAGAGTGTGTCCTGTGCGTGAGTTTTATTCAAATAAGAATTATTGCAGCAGTAAAGGATACAAAGGTTGGTTATGTATTCTTTAATATTTCATTTGATTTCTGATAGTTTTTACTTTTTATATTTCCACAGTCCATTATCACTAGCTAGACTATTCATCTAGTATTTCTTCTTGAATATGGAGGATACCGTAATAAAAATCAAAGATAAATCTTGTTGATTACAGTAAATTGTTTAGCAAAAATCATATATATTTTTATTACAGGGAATAACAAACTATTCGTTCTATATCTTTGTATCTGACCCTCAAGAGTTAAAATATTTTTTTATATAAATTATCCCGTATGATTTTAGAATTTCTTTTGTTCTTAGACGATAAAAAAATAAACATACCTGCTAAAAATAACCCGCACAAAAAAGGCTGTCAAAGTAAATTTAAAATCAGACCGTTGTACGTGTTATAATCAAGTGACCATTTCTACGATACAACTATCCTATGTTTTTACAGGTTGAAATGTTTATTATCTACAAATCTTGTTTAGAATTCGGTTATTTCAGGTTGTGTTGGGTTAGGATAGTACTTGTTAAACTAATGTTATTTAAATCTAACTAATAGTATAAATTTGTAAGGTTTGTGTGTGTGAAAGTTTGTATGTTTGTTTGAAGTTGATAAACTACTGGTTGGATTAGGCTGAAATTTGGTATGGTGATAGCTAACATTCCTAAAATCCTTTCGGGCTTTACCCCAGTGGCTCTGGAGTTTCTAATGTTAACCTTATGAGTATTCATATTTTAAAGGAAGAAATAGTTATTTGTGCAACTAGTGAGAAAAGTGAGCAATTGACTCACTCGAGAGAAATCCTTACTCACGAGCCGTAGGCCAGTGAGGAATGGTTTCTCGAGTGAGGCAGTTGTACTTTGAACTCGAGTTGCACATTATACTTTTCCTACAGTTACCATAAAACAAATAAATTGGCGAAGAAACATAACCTATTTTTACACAGAAGTGAACTTTTAATATAACATTTAATGTGAAGTGACAAATACAACAGTACAACAGCTGACCAGCTGATTTACAGCCAGTGCTGCCAACGTATTTCGCGCGCATACGACGTTGCCTGCATGTTACGCGCTCACTATTTCGTACCTTCACCTTGCAAATCTGGAGTGAGACAAAGTAATTAGAGTGAGACAATGTTAACATTGTCTCACTGATGAGCGAATTGGCCACTTTGCTTTCTCAAATCAGTGAGAGAACATGTACATTGTTAGGTAACTTCAGGAAAAGAATTTTGTCAGCTGTTTCAATTACACAAGTTGGTTCTATCTTACTAATATTATAAATGTGAAAGTTTGTGTGTTTGAAGGTCAATCACGCATAAACCACTGGATGGATTGGGCTGAAATTTGGTATGATGATAGCTCACATTCTCGATTAACATATAGGCATATTCTTATCCCAAAAATCCCTTCGGGCTCCGCCCCAGTGGCTCTGTAGTTCCCCATGATGTTAACCTTATGAGTATTCATATTTAAAGGGAATTAAATAATTTAGTCAGCTGTTTCAACTAAAAAAGTTGGTTCTATGATATAAAAAGTTATTAAAAAGTTATAAGATTTACCAACAGGGTGCAGCACTATATTTTTTTTGCATTTATGTAAACAGTTAATTTGAACTAAGCAGCAACAAACAACTGTGATACGCAATGAGAACTGTCAAAGTAGGATTGTTTACAGTTATGTTTATGTTTTTAATGTCGTGAATAATTTGTGATTTTTTAAAAAAATTGTAATACTTTATTTTTCTTTATTGTTTAGGTGAAGAGGTCATTATGGCTATGGTAGATGTGTAATACCATAGTATACCGTCAATTTAAAGAAGCAAATTTTATCAAACTTTGTCCTCCCCCATTGCAAACGCAAAGCTTGAGTATAACTGCAATAAGCAATTTAAACTTATATGCCAACCCCGTACGAAGGACGGGTACTCTGCTAGTAAAGTTATAAGGTTTACCAACAGGGTGGAGAACTATTAATATTTTTTGCTTTTGAAAACAGCTAATTTGAACCAACTAGCAACAAAAAGCTGTGATTCACAATGAGAACTTTACTTTTTTCTATTGTTTAGGTGCAGTGGTAGAACATTATGGTTGCCCTATGGTAGATGTGCTATACTATAGCATAGGCCTACCGTAAAGTAAAAGAATCAAAATTTCTTAAACCGTGTCCTCTCCCAACAATATTGCAAACGCAAAGCACGAGTATAACTGCAATAAGCATTTTATACACGCTAACACCGTACAAAGGACGGGTACCATGCTAGTATGGAATGACTATGACGTTTTTCAGGAGATATTTTAGTAAAATTCCTACCAGTTAAATGGGAATTCGCTTAGTCTGCAGGTTTGCTGCGACGGGGGTATTTAAGTCATAGATTAATTATTCAATCAAATCATACCCTGTCCGCTGATATTCTTATCAATTGACATGTGACTGACAGGTCAGTCAATTAACATTGACATCATGGCCTCCAGCCACGTTAATGTCGATATTCTAACAAACTAAACACGTTTCATCCGGAATGAAATTGTCGGAAAACTAATTATAAAATAACATTCGAACGAATAGCGCCCAAAGCGGAGTGAGTACTTTTGAAGTCTTTGTCACAAATGACAAATAGTTTTGACTATTTTAAATGAAAACGAACACAAAAACGAAATTAATAGATATCAAAGATAAAATATTCAATTAGAACAAAAGATTTAATTACTGCGCTTTGATGGATTTATTTTGCGTGTTATCGGTTATTGATTGCGTGATTTTATGATAACGTCCAAACAATGATAGGGTGGAACGCGGAGGTAGAAATTACAATTGTTTTTCACATAGATAATGTGATGAACAAAGCCAAAACTCAATAGAACTTGGACTACTGTACAAACTAAAACCTGACAGTACAGTACAGTCATCATTGGTACGAACCTCGGTAAAACGGATTCCTCGATAATACGAATTTTTAAAAATCCCCTTGAAACATAAGGGTCAAAAGGTCAATGCTAAAACACCTCTATACAACGTTTAGGCATAGAAAAATACTCCCTTAGTAGATTTCACATCCTTATGGAACAGCTGAAGCCAATTTTACTGTTAGTTCTGTCTGGTGTACTGTAACTGTAGAGTCGTGTTTTGTTTACAATTCGTTTCTTGCTTTTCAGGGGGTGAAAATAGATTCTGTACATATTTTATGTTCGAGTTTTCGACCATGGGGCGAACTCTAGGAACGAATCAGTCATGTATATTTTACAGAGAATTAAAAAAAAAACCGTTAATACAAAGTTCAATCAGTTAAATGATCTTCATTAGTGACGAACTTTTTGCGGCCCAATCTAACGACAAAATCGGAAAAATTCAACGTACATTAAAAATATATTTTAAAATACGAGCGTCAAATGGCCAACATCAGTCCACAGTGACAGCTGCTTGCTTTAATGAATTCCGGCGAAAAACTAACAAATTTGCATTTTGCTTTCAAGGGATAAGGCTGACATTAGTCGACGAGTTTGCATAATAAGGTCTTACTGGAGCGTGATGGTGCTTGAAACGAAGGAATTCGGGGCCTTTGAAGGTCTAAGAAATACTTGAGGAGAAGTGCGAGTAAATAAAAATACCCGGCCACGTTCGAATCTAACGTGAGCATAGCTCAAGGGGATGCAGTTTCTTAACTGGGCTACCCTAATATCGATTGAAAACATCTATTCGATTAGAAAACCTTCATTAGATTTTTTTTGATAATCAGCAAGTTTGGTTGGTTAGGTTAGGTTATAATAATTTGCATTAGGTTAGGTTAGGTTATAACAATATCATTTTATAATTGATATATTTGAAAATAACGATTATTAATTGATATTTTTAAACGATATGAGGGTAGCCCAGTTAACAAAACTGTACCAATTTTTTTTTCTAAGGAAAATACATTTAACTGACTCAGAAGTAAAATGCATATTGTTTCACTGATTAAGCGAAGTGGCGAGGTCCATTGTTAGCTTCTGGACATACTATTGACAAGTATCTCGGCTAATGTTCAACCGATTATTTTGGGGTTGTAAGGGCCTAACCTAGATAAAAGCATAATTATGAGTTTCAAATAGATAAAAACTCGGACAGAATGGATATAAATGCAATTTTGAAATAATGGGAAATGTCTGTGTGTAATTCCTCGATATCTGTAGCAAGTGATTTTACCATTGAACAATCATGTGATAATTTTACCCATTACAACCAGAAGTAATTTAGCGGCTCTTAGATCAAACAAAAACACTATTCCCGTTAACACATCGTAAAGGTTGAGAAAACGAGTAGCGAAACCGATATGCTAAGATTATAGATGCACATCGAGATCTGGACGAACGCCCGTTTGCTACCAATATTCAAACAGTCACCGTTCAAAGATTGAACTTTGTCACATAGTTTACTATCAACTCCAGCACAGATGAGGCCGGAAGGTAGTTATAAGCCCAAGTCGAGGGTTATGCAAATTTTGTAATCCGTGTAGCGATGAGGGGAGGGGCAACACGGGACCGAGAGATAAGACAGGTCAGCTAACTTTAGCCCTAACATATTTCTACTTGTTTAAGCTACAAGACAAATTTCTGTGTCACCGCTGCAAATGACATTGTCATCATTGTAACTCTTGTATGCACACAATTAGTCTTTTGGCAGTGGTGTCTTTCAAAAGAACTGAGCTTTGTGATGATGAATACTTATCAAACTTAATAGTAGGTTTTGTAAAAGTCAACACAGTTGTAGTTTGAAGTTCTACGATATTACACACTTTTATCCGTAAATTCTTTGATCTATAACGTGGAAATATCAGTTGAATTAATTAAGTTATTGTGATGAGGGGAAAAATATTCCTCTCTGTTTGCGTAGGCAGTGTTTTCACGTAGGGGATTATTATTTCCAATTTATATTACATTTGGAACATAAATTATCAAGCGGACAGACGTATCAATTTACCGTACGTTGTTTGATAATGTTCACATGGCCAAGAAAACAAAATGGTTAAAATCTACTTTGAATGTAGTTCGGTCTTTTGTAGGGGTACGTCAGAAGGCATACATAAAAGGGCCTTTCATATAGAGTGTACAATCCAACTTGCCTAATCATGAAGGCTACAGTGTGTATAGTCCAAACTGTTTCATAATGGAAATCACACAGGGTGAATTCTAACCTTTGTCATCGAAGGGACTCTAACTATTTACCTGTTTACTGAGGCGCGCGTGAACTCCAAGCTCTCTCTGCAGGGCTGGTAGGTAGGCTCTCAGGAAGGGCAGCACGAAGGGTCTGAGAGGGAAGTTTGTCACGTCTTGTAGAGAATGATGGAACTCCTCCACGGTCAGGCCCGCGCCCTGCAACAAGAAACATCTGGAGATTAGTGATGTAATTAAGTCGAGTACAATGGTAAAATATAAACCCGTAACGAGGAAATACCGTGCAAGAGACTACACTGGTAACACTGGATAAGGGACTACCAATTGTGTTCTTTGTAACCAAAGGCACTACCTTTGTTGCAGAAAAAGATTCTTGTTGTCTTAAAGCATTAACTAAGAACGAAAGCTTGAACAAATATAGAACACGAATATGAAGACTGCGAGGGCTAGTTACCATCCAGTCTGAATATATAGTAGTACAACACCTCAAAGTTTTGAGGACAACTGACGTTCTTCAGGGTATAAAATATTAGTAATTCAAAACACCTGCAAAAAATAAATGTTCAGACAATTCTTTTACACATTGAACAATTGATACAACCGATTGAACGTTGACATGGACCAATACTTATGGATATGTGTAAAAAATGTAATTAGAAATTTGAAATACTCATTCACAAAACAAAACGTTGAGACAACCAAACGGTGGACAAATTAAACTTTGTACACATCGAAAGTAGACATCAACTCTATGCTTATGGAACAATGTCAACACAATGTATTGTTTATCTTGTATTGATTATAATAAGAATTGACACCTTTGCCACTAGAATGGTAATAACCTTATTCACAGAGTCATTAGGCCTTACATCTACAGTTTTACTACTTAAAATATACATTCTACAAGTTAAAATATTGCGGTACTTACAACGAGATTAAGGACGAGGCTCTTGACTCTCTCGCCGGTGTCTGGAGAGATGTCTTGGCCGAACTGAACCAAGGTGCTGAGGAACCTCTTGACCTTGCCCAGGGGACGACCCAGAGGGGTGGAGTCCGAGAGAGACACTGATAACGCGGGGCCTGCAAACAGAGTCAAGATGCACTTGTGGAAAAAGGTGAACGTGCAGAGTAAACGAAACTGATGGAAAATGACCAGTTGGAAATATTGCGTGGGAGTCAACGTTAAGGTTGGCGGTCTCTTTACATTGTATTTGCCAGTCGTCATAGGCTTTGGGACGGTACGTGGAACGTTTCCAGCAAAGCGAGGGTGCACTACTAGATTTCGTGGCGGGTATTAGGACACGAATCTACGAAATCACTGCTATAGGTTCCTTTGCAGTCACCGACGCGCCAATTATCGAAATAATTTACAAATTAAAGTGTGTATAGAGATAAAACATATCTGAGTATTCGGGACAAGGGAAAGCTGAACTATGTATACAAGGAATTTGCCATTCTTTAAGATAAACTTAATTTTTTTCAAGTAGTGTAATACTAACTTACCATACGATACCGTCGTCTAAATAATAAATCCTTTAGTCATACAATAGAGGATGCAATAAGCGTGGTCGATGAATATATAGGAACAATTTTACCTTCTAACATTGCACCAAGGATAGATAGACACGACGATTAATGCCAGCTAATACTTGGATTTTTGTGAGCTACGATCAACTTAAAGGATATATTATAAAAATCAGGCGGAGTGTGTATCTGTTTACTATTTCCATTTACCAACCCTGTTACACATTTGAATCAGGAAGCTATTGCCAATAAAACCTTGACGTACGTTAATGTCTGGGGGTGTTTAAAAATGCTTCATCAATCTCAAGATTAATAGTTAGTATAGACAATACTTACATATACACTTCATAATTCACCACAAATCTCAAGGAGTTACAACTATTATTTTTAGTTTCAATTAATAATATTACGAGGTGGAGGTCTTCTATGTTGAGGGAGTAATTAGAAAATCACGGACTTGAGTTATGTCGCATCAGTTGCAAACATCAAAGTTGCACTTGGACATAAGTTGCAACAGTTGCCAACTTGGACTATTAGTTCCAGTTTGTAGGCTACACTCCATGCCCAGCACTGATCTTGGCCGCATTTGCCGTACCTGTAAGTGCAGAATGATTTTCTAGAATATCATGAGAGTTCTGAGCATAGATTTGACATGTTGTTTTATAATGCAAGGGCATGGCAATAGTGAGATTTGTTTATTATATGGCAAATACTATGAGCTCTGTAAGACCATGCCATGATCTGTATGGGTCTTTTTCAAGAATGAGAAAGATGCATAGATTGTTTTGTGTCTGTTCATGTTGTTTTTTAATTTAAACTTTGGGTTTGCAGCTACTTAAAAATTGCAATGGTTCTAATATAAGATTAAATTATAATTTAGTAAAACACCGTGCTAATACTAGGATGATTTCATGTGTAGGATGGATGGATTTAAAACTCATAAAGGCTAATAAGGAATCAGGGTAAGAACAGCTTACCATACAAGACCGGAGTTATATTTTCATAATATCAAGGATACAGATTTTCAAAACTTAGTTACACGCTGAATTTGTTGCAACTGTACATCTTTCAGTAACAATACCGTATGCTAGTCTAGGTGACTTATTTATTTTGCCTGTTCATGCATGTATTTATTTTGAAATGAGTCGTAATCTGCAATCTATTTTTTTTGTTTGTTAATGTCATCTTGGGCCCATGCATTTATTGGTCTGTAAACGATCCTTGCGTATAATTTGTAAATTGGCTGCTTGCCTTCGAGATAAATAAATAATTTCAAACTATGATATCAGTCTAGGTACTTTTTGGACAAAACAAAACTTGTATAGGGCCAAAAACGATAAACTATCCAACCAATATTATTATCAGCGGAATGTAACCTAATTATGGTGCAAACTTCACCATAGTGATAGTTCTACAAGACTTTCTGTGAATAACAGCTGTTGCATTTGAGGATGCCGCATATGTAAACCACCTGTTTTATAAATACCAACATGTTTTAAATTGCATCCAACTGCCACTGAATGTTTCCCATATCCCGTCTCATCATTAGAGCGGCACAAAGAGTCGACCTCATTTCCGCCATTCCTGCTGATGACAAGTTAATTCCGCGGGAATATTCCAATTAACTCGCATTTCTGGAATTACTTGATGCATTGGCAGCGTAATACGAAGGCGTTCACGAAAGGAACGGAATCGAAGGATCGGATAAGGAGAGTTTGAGTTTCGTCGTCACCGCGTATTTTACAGTGTAATAACTGGGTTAGCAGATCAGATGTGTATTGTAACGTGGTGGGTGATATGGGAAAAACTAGTAAAGGAAATAGTTATTTTTGTAACTATTTACATCTTTCCTACAGTTACTATAAAGCATATACATAACACATAAGTCTTTCAAACACTATACAACATGTTTTTAGGTTATGTTAAATCCAAGCGTAGAACGGAATGAGAAACGCCGCACCAGCTGATCGTAGTCGTAGTAGGCCTATCTTTAAGTGTTGCCAACTTTTTCCAAGCGTATTACGTGCCTAATAAAAGCACACTGTTGTTAATTGGTTGGAATACTTGTGGCAAAAAAATTAGTGCGAAAAAAACAAGCGCGGCAAAAGTAATAATGCATCAATTAGTTACTTGTCGTGCTATAATCATTGTAAGGAATTCACCTTTGACAGGTAACTGTAAGAAAAAGAATGGATTTATGATATAAGAGCATGTAGTTCTGTCCAAAAGTGTAATTTGTTTTTAAAATTTCAACTCGGGTGTGGCTTTTTTATGGCTCTCCATGAATGGCGTTTTCTGATAAAAAGTCAGTTCTACCAGAGAAATTCAACCTCTGTTATCTCCTTTTATCTCTTTTATCTCCTAAAGGTACTTGAAGGGTAAGGTGGTCTCCAAACCCTCTGGGTCACAGTTAAAATTCATTGCTGATTGACGGGGTGTGAACCAGAACCTCAAGTCAATAAGTTCTGCTCTCTAAACACCTAGTTGTAAAACAGTGTACTAACCGGCTTTTCCCGCTTGTTGGGACTTGTAAATCAATAAACGACATGCATCAAATCAAAATTTGGCAAATGTAGAGAAATATGGACCATAGAGCTTCTGTAATTAATAATAATGTATTTCAGTAAATAATAATGGGTGTGTAGAAAATTAAGTTTGCTACATACCTACAATATAGCCTAATGATTAATATTTGTCAATTAGTGACTGGGTTGTGAAATAATGATTCTATTAAACAAAATCGTCAATGTTAGTAACACGGCTTTGGACCGTACCATTAAAAACGTAAAATGCCATTCACGTAGAAATTACACAAAATAAAATAAATGTCAGTGGTTGAATTGATAAAGTGTATCAAAAGGTACTCAGTCTATAGTGACTGTAGTAGGCCACGAAAAGTTGACTTTTAATGGGAAAACAATGAAATATATCCGTAAAATATTTAACGGGAATTTCACGATAACTTCTCTCTGGTCAAGCATAGATTCCGTAACACAAGTGATACAAGTTTTGGACATGTTGACCAATCGATGGGGACTCAGGTGGCGGAAAGTTGGAACAAATCCCGCGACAACTCACTACACAGTCTCGACAGAAGGCTGCAGTGCCTTCAGTGCTCAGCACTTAGTCATCAACAATCTGAGTCATCAGCACGTAATGTTGATGTTATTTGTGTTGATTATAAATAGGACATTTGAATAACTTATTTTGAAATTGGGTAATCTCAGCAAAAATGATCAACAATTATGTTTCAAGTTAGTAGTTAGGCAGACGTTTATTATCTGCGTTTAACTTTAGTTTTCCATTTCCGCAAGTGAAATAGTTATTCATTATGTATGTTTTATGTGAAAGGCATTGTCTATAATTTACGGGGACATTCAGATCATTAGGCCGAAAATATTTACAGGACATTGAGACTGACTGACAGAGGTGTAAAGGCATTTTTACCACCTACTCATCCCAAAATGTTATCCATTTCATAAATAGACGATTTATTGACTTCAAAACCCATTTGAATGCTAGGGTGGGAATTAATTACGCCAACTGATCTAAGTCAGGTAGTCGGGTATTCCTGAATTGCGCCAACTACTCCAGGGAGCCACCCGATACGTTCCTTAAATAAGCTATGTGGCGACCGTCTTTGACTGTATAATTCAGTAGGTTAGGTTAGATTAGGTTAGGATGACACTTAAATAAGACATTCCTTCTGCCTTCCTGGCTTGGGCTTGGCGCAATTAATGCACGACCGAATGCGACACAAAGCTTCAGAGTAAATTTCCATTTCTTATCGGTTTGAGTTCCAAATACGATGATCAATGGTATTACTTACTTGTTTGGCCGTTCTGAGAGTACAGCGGCGGCGTGGTGTTGCCGTTCTGGAAGGGAGGCTTGGGGCTGTTAGGCTGGCTGGTGGGGGTGGTGGTAGGTGTAGTGGGGGCCGGGGTGGGGGTGGCTACCAGCGGGGGCGAGCTGCGGACCCGCGCACCTTCCGGACTGTCTGGAGACTTGACTCTCTCCTTCACACCTGTAAAATTACCACATTGTAGACTAAATGTCATTAGAACACTAGAACACTAGAACACACTTCTGTTGTATTAATCCAAACCATTTAGCCTATACTTTGTAGTCCATACTCAAAATTCACAACTCATGTAATCTACTAAGACACATTTCGACCGTTTCGATTTTTGATAAAAATCACTTTACAATTCATATAAAACAACCACTGTATCTATCGTAGCCCATACATTATGTGTTTGATGGAATTGTTGCGGGTCATACAGGAATATGTTCTTTTAGCATCGGGATATGTCTCTAGGAACCCACTTCTATATCCAGGGTATGGCTGTAGGAACGAGGAGGTTGGGCGTAAAAGAGGGAGAATTCATTTATCCATGCCAGCTTGAATTTCCTGGAACTCGAACGCTAAAATAATGTGATAGTTGGTTACACCCTGTGGAGATCCAAGTGTCGACAACTGTATTTGTTTGAACAGCAGAGTTCAGGGGTTGGACCCTCGAACACAGGCATTGAACGAGTAGGAACTCTAGAGTGAAATAGAATTGTAGACAAAATACTGTGGGGTCTTGTGGGAGGCAATATTAACTGATTATGGGGATTTTATTATGATGCTTCACAATCTTCAGGCTGTTATAAGACTGAAAGAGGCTTTAGACCTTTTGGGAACCTCAATACAATGGTACACGGTTAGTTAGTCCGGAATATAACCTCGATTTTGTTCATAAACTAGATATTATATTTTTGATACTAGATTTTGGGAGTAGGAAGCATAACTGCGGGATAAAATGTGCTAACTACCTTTAATCGTTAAAATAATATTAATTTCACCACAAAACAAAGCAATTAATCATATCCAGTTTATGTTTGACATTCATGTTGTGTTAAAAAGTTGAAGCCTCCAAAGATAAGCCCAACAACAAAGACCGATAATTGTGAAAACATTAAATACCTTCCAGTCCATTTCGAAGAGTCAACCCGTTCTAATTACTGGACAGTCAAATGAAATGTCACAACAATATAACTTCTTTCCGTCGGCTCTACCTGTGGGGGACAAGTGTATTAATTTTCATATCTCGCAGTGCGCGTCACAGACAAGACAGTGGTCAGACTGGGGGGGGGCAATCATCCACTGGCCGGGGGCACAGGATTAAAGGATGTTGTAGTCAAAGAGGCCCCCTTGAGGGGGGAGGAGCCCCCCACGAGCCACTCTGAAGTGACCCGACCTCAACATCACTTGACATTACAAAGTGATCGCTCGCGGCAACTGTCAGTGCTGGCTTGTGATTGGTCCGACCGACTCGTTCTTACAGCTCATTGGCCGGCACGTCGGCCAATCAAAAGACCGCCGGTGGTTTTATATTTTAATTGCGTTGCGTGTCGCCTTAGGATCGCTTAGGAAAGTCAGAATGTTACTACTGTAGGTTAAACAGAAAGTATATTTTTTGAATAAAATATGGTTATACTATTTCTCTGGAAGACCGGTTTATGATTTTATTTTAATTCACTGAAAAAATTATAGTAATACATATCGCCATAGATAAAGTACAATTTGTCATTAGAAGAAGAATTGGTGTATTAGGATATTTTCTTGATACTATATACATTCTCATGCATACAAGGGTTAAGTGCATTAAACTGGATCGCGTACAGTTACAAACAAAAAATAAAAACCATTTAAAGCTAAAACTGCAAATATTTTTATCGCCTTTTATAATAAATTGATGATCCTTTCAATACGTCATACACATTTCCCTCCAAAATATAACGTACTTTAATAATTAATTGATTTTTGAATCTAGATGTAATCCATACTCCTTATAATTAATTTAAATGGGATGTCAGTATGGTTTAGAAGTTTGATAATTTACATAACACATTTTAACCTGTTGTTGGTGTCATAGCAGTTAAAACAGGTGCAGTTTATTCACAAGTATTAAATTTATTTTAATTAGTTTTCTTACCATGTATGAGCAAATAACTAACTCAAAAGCCCACCTCAACTTACTCTGTCCAATCTAATCCAATAAATATCAATTTTCATTTCAAACATTTTTATTTTGTTATATTTTAACGAATATTAATAACTGTAGTTTTAAAATGTCTATTTTTACAGTGCAGCAGATACAACGGCGCTGTCTAGCAATACATAGCCAGGCGTGTGCTGCGGGTATAGCGTCAGTAGAATACCACGGCGCGGCCCGCTAACATTGACTTGGCAGCCAATGTAAACAGAGAGTCTTGCACCCATATGAATGAACTTTGTCAAGTTATTCAGCATGCCAAAAAGAAACAAAAATGTAAAATAACTTGTGTCCTATCTCATTCCGTTTTTGGTCTATCTGTATGTACGTGGTTTTTACAAAACATTCATTACAACTCCTTAACTGCTTGAGTTACAGCGTTGAAATTCTGTAAATATGTTTATCTTATTGACCAATCCTATTGTGCAAAATGAACACAAGCTCTTGACCAATTTTAAAATGGTGGCTTTTAAAAATATTTTATGGCAAATTCCACAAAAAAACTTTAATTTTACTGTTTTTGCAAGGTATGTAAAATTTAGTAAATTTCTTGCAGATAACAACGATATCTTATAAGCTTAGTTTGTACAAATAATTACTGAGAAATTTATTTTTTTCTGCCATACATACGGTTTTCTCCATTTAAACGATGTTAAATTGATAAAACAACTTTTTATCATTGATTAAATGGAGAAAACTGAAGGTAAAATTATTCTTCAGTTATTCTTTGTCTAAACTAAGCCTGTAAGATATCATTGTAATTTGCATGAAATATACGGGGTAGCGGATTTTTATCCCCCTGGAATTTTACCCCCTAGGCAAACGTGACGTCACAAACCAGGGGGTAAAATTCCGGCCGCGAAGTTTTGAGTTTCGCGATATCAGCTCGATGGATTAAACGCGGAATTAAACATATATTTTCACGGTTGTGAGTTTAATCAGAACACATCAAATTACAAAAACCTAGAATGTACGGCCCGGATTTTTACCCCCGGAATTTTACCCCCAGAATTTTACCCCCCGGAATTTTACCCCCTGGCCAGATATAAATTAGTGAGAATGATTAATTATCGTCATTCAGTTTTAATTTAATGGTAAACATTTTATTATTAAGTAGCCTATCTTAATTTATATGTAACATTAACTAATCGAACAGGGTTTTAATATTAATTTTGAGATTCGAGTGTCAGGATTCGATCTTTGAAGCCATATGATCAAAATAAAACAGCGAATTCTGTTTACTTAGTTGAGATTACAAAATAAATAAATAAAGATAGGCTACTAAATAATGAAATGTTTACAATTAATTAAAAACAGAAATAAGAAAAGCAATCATTCAATTTCTAAAATCAGCCAGGGGGTAAAATTTAGGGGGGTAAAATTCCGGGGGGTAAAAATCCGGCCCGTACATCTTCAATTGCCTAAACGCTAGTTATATGGACAGGGGGTAAAATTCCGGTTTTTATCGCTAATATAATTAATCACGCTCTGACTATTTTCATTAGACTTCCAAATCCGCGGGGGTAAAATTTCGGCCGCGAACAAACTTTTGGCCACTCAGGTTACTACGTCATAGTGACGTCAGCTTTGCCCAGGGGGTAAAATTCCAGGGGGATAAAATTTCGGCGACCCATATATACTAGATTTTACCTCTCCTACAAATATTTTGATTAATGGTTTTCATGGAATTTGGCGTACAATATTTTGTAAAACCGCAATTTTTACGTTTCAAGGGTTATTTTACACTAACGGTCAATAAGATCAACATTTTTACAGAATTTCCACGCTGTAGCTCAAGCAGTTAAAGAGTTATGAACACTTTTGTAAAAATCACATACATACAGATAGACCGAACACAGACTGAGATAGGGCACATGTTATATTACATTCTTTGTTTCTTTTAGATCTGCTGAATAACGTCACAAAGTTTGTTAATGTGGTTGCAATACACCCTGTATATCGAGATTAGAGGAAACTAGTTACACGGTATTTTAGAATATCGTGGCCGTCGAAATACTCTCTACATTAACAATTTAGAGTGGAATTACTGATAAAAAGTGTCAGGATGCATGATGATTCATTATTCTCTTAAGCTGATTTATTTTTCGATCTTCTAGTGAACATTAAATAGTTCAATATGCATTTTGGATAGTGTTACTGCGTTAAAAGTATTGTAGTTAGGAATTTTCTACAAATACGCCAACTTTCATCTGGATCAACTTTTTTGGAATGTAAAATAATAAAAAATGCTTGTCGAAGGAGAAAGCCATACAAATGAAATAGTCTATATGTAACATATAGTACATAGAAAACAATGAAGATTTACTAAATGATATTTCAACTTTTATAAGCTTCACTTAGATAGTAAGAATACGTTTTTCAATTAGATTTTAATTGTATTTTTAATCACCGTTAGATTTTATATAAGTGTACGAGTTCTTAGTTATCCTTAAATTACGTCGTAATATTTTCAGTTTTTATTATTATTATTATTATATAGCTGAATTGTTGTTCACGTTTACAATCTTCAGTAAAATAAGCATTTACATTATTTTGCGTCATGATTGAATGGACGATATGTTAAATGAATGTTTATAAAAATCCCATTTTACACCCTTAAAGCTCAAGTATTGAGGCCAAACCGTTAAACCACACGGTATGAATGCAAACCAGCGGTTGATGACGTGAGTTGTGACGTAATACAAGATGACGTCATCAATCACAACCGTCCCGACCACCGGACACGGAATTAATCACTTCCGTTGTAAATCTTTCCTACTTCTTTTCTTTTTGTTCTCGGCGGAATTAAAAACAGTTTAAAACTCGCAGCCTGGAGCGGACAGTGGGAAAAACCGCGGGGAGAACTAATTTTGCAACGTGTGAAAAGTTGAAGCATGCCTGGCGGTGACGGCGAGTGCTGCCAACATGGCGAAAATAAAAATCCCGCTGAAAACAAGTTGAGTGTCGGTCTTCTGTCGGTGAC